CTGACACCCGTTGGATTTGGTGAGCTAAAAGTTTACCAGCTTTATCTCCATGTTCGTAAAACTGGGCACCCGACAGAATTAGCAGTTCAGTAGTATGTTTTGTCATGAGCACATCTAACTCAGCTTGCAACACAAGACGATCCTTGTACAAAGAGGGTGAGGGTGATATCGCATACAAGTTGTCAATTTGGGAAATATGGCGTGTTAAAGTAGTAATTCTCTCTTTTTGTAACTTATTTTCATACTTTACGTAGGAGATAATCTCCCCTCTGATGAAGGCTTTAAGTGTCTCCCAGAGTAGTGAGGCAGAAACCCCAGGTCTTCTATTAGTTTCTAAAAAAAAATCTATCTGTTGTGTCACAAAAGATACAAATTTTTCGTTTGATAGTAAACGGGTGCTCAGCCTCCATGGTGGCCGCTCAACGGGGCGAGAGTCAAATCTGATGTTTATAGAAACAGGAGCGTGGTCCGATAAAACAATAGCATCATATTTGCACCCATTGAGAGAGGGCAGCAATCTATTATCAATCAAAAAAAAATCAATACGTGTAAAAGTGTGGTGGACTGAGGAAAAAAACGAGAAAACCTTTTGGGAAGGGTGAAGAGAACGCCAAGCATCGCAGACATTAAATTCAGACATAAAGGAGTTAATAATTTTAGATGAGCGTGAGGGCGCGGTTATATTTGTTGATGAGCGATCCAGCTGGGAGTCAAGCCAGCAGTTAAAATCACCTCCCAATATTAAGTGATAGGTGGACATATCGGGGAGTGTCTGGAAAACATGTTTAAAAAAGTTTTCGTTGTCATAATTGGGCGCATATATATTAGCCAATGCCACCGGGACATTGTAAATGGTGCCAGTGACCATAATGTATCTACCAGAAGAGTCAGAAATGGTTTGAGAGTGCACAAAAGGGACAGATTTATGGATAAGAATAGCCACTCCTCTAGATTTAGAGTTAAAAGAGGAATGATAAACTTGATCGACCCAGCTACGCCTCAGCCTCACGTGGTCCATGTTCTTAAGGTGTGTCTCTTGAAGGAAAGCTATTTGTGCCCCCAATCGCTGCATGTGATGAAGTACCTTACTGCGTTTTACCGGATTGTTAAGTCCCCTGCAGTTGAAGCTGGTGAAACGGATCTCTCGTCCCACCCTTGTAGCCGATGACAATTGAGGATCAGTCATAAATTAGAATAAAACAAGAGAGTAAACATGAGTCGCCCCGGTCACCTGAGAAAAGAGAAACAGAGTAACACAAAAAAAAAAAAAAAAAAAAAAAAAAAAAAAAGTAGTGTACCTCCCCCTGCAATCCAACCCCCCACCCCCACCCCACCTCCTTAAACCGACCCCATCGCTGAAGCATCCCCCCAAACGGGACGCGCGAAGCCCTATCAAAAGAAAAAAACACAGCATCTAGCCTACAAGAGACTAGGAAAAGAGAGTAGTCTAAAACTATTGACGAACCCTCCTGGGAATGCAAAGTAAATATAAAAAAGTACACACAATTATTTTCCTTCTGTTTTCCCCCTCTATTTCTCAAATAGATTAAATGTCCAAAATATAAACTATATCCACAGTGTATCCCAAGTACTTAAAAGGCACTATTGAGAACAGAAATGTATTATGCAACAGTCTTATTGCACTGGTTATTACAATTCTTCAACAAAAATGTGAACCCATCCTTGGGTAGAGGCACCCCCGAACTAAACTGTGCTCGGAGGAACCACAGCTTTAATATTTTTACCAACAAAGTCTGCAGCGAGGGTTGGGTCTTCAAACTTGTGAACTTGCCCATTGGGAAGGGTGATCCGTAAGACTGCAGGGAAAAGTAGCCCAAACTTGATTCCAGGGCAAGAATGGAGCTCCTTCTTTACTTTCGCGAACATAGCGCGTTTCTTAGCAACTGAGGCAGAATAATCCGGGAAAATGAACACCCGTTTTCCTTCATAGAGTAAGGGAGATGATTCACGAGCCCTCCGTAGAATCTCATTCCGCTCTTGGAACAGGTTGACACGGACAACAAACGGCCGCGGTGGGTCCCCCTCTGCCGGCTTGGCCCGCAATGTACGATGAGCCCGGTCAAGGGTAGGCTTAGCCTCAAGGCCTACCAGAGCCTGAAGCAACGTTGATATGAATTTTGTCGGCTGTTGACCTTCGGATCCCTCTGGTATACCCACGAGACGAATGTTATTTAGTCTGGAGCGACCTTCCAAGTCTTCACATTTCTTGGACAGCGTGTCCACCAACGCATTCAAGGAGCTAACCGAAGCTTCCATGGTAGCTAGCCTCCCGTCTTGATCATTAGCAGCCCGCTCCAGATCGTGAATAGCAGTCCCAAACGAAACAATTTTAGCTTCTAGTGGTGTCACAGCGGCTGAGATCTCCCTCTTAACGACATTCGAAACAATGTTCTCAAACCTGTTAATGAGATCAGTCCGTGAGTCGTTCAGCATCTCCTGCATCTTGGCTAGCAGCATGCTATCAGCTTGTGGTTCAGCAGGAGCTTCGTGGTCAACCTTGTTGCGGCCAGTCTTGTCGTTTTTTTCCCATGTTTAACTGCTGTACTTACAGGTTGCACAACCGATGTGCTTTCTCGTTCACTAGTAGTCCAGTTTGTTCAAAAAGAGTGTAAAGAGGTGCAAAAATGTTCATTAAACACATATCCCGTGAGAGCACCAGCAAAACACGTCCTACATGGTCGGTTCCCTGGCTCCGCCCCATACACACTGATTTATAGTCAGAAACTAGGTCTGTGTGTGTGTCGCACTGAATGCAAATGTGCCTCCGTCCCTGCCGCAGACACTCTGCTGCACCTCTCCAAAATTGTAGGTGACAGCAGACAGACAGACAGGAACCATCTAATTGGTCAAAACTTCGGCTCTACACTATGCATTTTTCCTGTTTGGTTGTTTTGTTTGTATGACCGCCATTGCAGAAAATCACTTGTGAAGTTGAACTAGCTAGAAGAGCGAGGTATGCAAGAACGCTGGGACCCTTTTTTCAACTGGTTGCTTGCTCTTTTTCACCCTTATGTCCCTCCGTTGTCAGACAAACTTGCCCCCACTTCCTCACCGCCTCGGCCATATCTAGTTCAACATCTAGTTTGTGATTGTCCGTCTTGCGTTGTGGTGTAGAATAACATAGTGCAAACCACGCTTCAACATGGATTTTATAGGGAAAGTGGCTGCTCAAGGAGCTTTTTTTTAATGTTTTCTTTGGTTGTCTGTCTTGTCTTCTTTTTGCTGTTATGTTCTCTGTTCCTCATCTAGCTGTGGGACATATATTCCTCGAGCTATATTGGCAAAACAAGACACACAAAACACAAACCAAAAAACTAAAAATCATCCTACATGGCAGTTTAGTTTGTACATCTGCTTTGTTTTTGCAACAGCTTTAAACACACTCCACTTACTCATGTTTCGGCAAAAATAACGGTTTAGAAAGACATGATAAATCGATCCCTGTGGGCTACACAGCCCTGGGAGATTGAAAGGTGTGCTGCTTGTTTCTTATCCAAACCACTGTCACTGTTCAAACAGTGTGAAAAAAATGCATATCCTGCAACATTCCCTTAATACTTTTCATTAGATAGTGAAAAAAAACAAAGTATTCATTTATAAATAATTCTACCAAGAAGAGAGAAATCTCTTGACTGTTTTTAACTGGAAAAGCAGCAGACCTTCAACCTTGCAGAGGTTAAGTGTTTCTTTTTAAAGTATTTCTTAGTATCAGTATAGAAGTTGAAAAATGACTCATTTGTGGAGGAGGGTAAAAGAATGTGTCTCTGGGTTTGGGTAAAGCAAGTCCAAGGGCTTTTGTGAAAGTTATTGCGTAATATTTATAATGCCATTAACACTTTATTCAGTGCACGCATAGATTTTTCATTCTAACCTCAGGCTGATTGGTCCTCAAAAGCTGACAAAGACAGGAGGTCCATGCAGAGCAAGGCTAGAAGTGTCAACTGTTGGATTGTAGTTACAAACTTCCCCACACTCACTCACAAATCCACAAACACAGTTATGAGCCAAGTGAACCAACCGCAATATGTCACATCCTGTACCAGTACAGAGAGGTTTCCTTTGCAAAGTAACACTTCTACATCCAAGGAAAGGCTGCCTGTTTAATGTCTGAAAAGCCACAGTGGGAGCCTTATGCAGTAGCATCTGGCATCACCTCAGATGCCTGCCAAGGTGGACATTAGATCAGAATAATTGGCCAGGGCAGCAGTGTGAGATGGACAAATGAGTACCTCCTCCTGGGTGACCTGATGGCCGAAAGAAAAAGGAACAACACTTCTCTGTGTGTAATAGGGGACTTGTGGAATTAAAAAAAACATATGAGTTTTAGACAAACATTAAAAAATAAAATAGAATATCTCTTTTCCTAATAACAACATTTCAAAAATACTTTATTACTTTAAATGTTTCTACATTGTGCTACTCGCACAATCTTTGCTGGCTGAATCATTTGCACAAAATCATCCAACAGCTCTGTAAGCCAAGCTACAGCTTTTACAGTGAAAATAAAAATGATGAAGATCTGCAGCATCACACAGAATGAATGTGAATCTTTTAGTTTTTAGAAGGATGAAAACAATTTAGCTTTACTTTTTATAGGGAAGAGAAGGGAAAAAAACAAAAAACAAAGTAGCAAACTGCTGTCTTCAACAAAACCAAATCATTAATGGTTTTATAGAATGCACTTAATGTCAGAACAAAGCAAATCTTCTTTGGCCTTTAGATACGGGACTTTGTAATATTGACTGCACACTTGGGATGCAATTAGCATTGATCAACAAGAAGTGAAGAAGTCTCCACTTCCTAACTGATGATTTTACAAAAACTGCTTAATAAACTCAGCTGTCCAATGAAAGCTGATTTATTTGGGTTCTTAACAAATTGATGTCAAACCTTCAGAAGTTTACTGACAAAAACGGACCATTTTGGAAATATTAAGGCAAATACACTTCCTTATAGTTTTAAAACAATGACACTTAAAA